GTTGAAGATCGTATGTGATCTTCCATGGGAGTCTGTACAAGCTGCATCAGTATCCCAGCAGCTGGTTCCTGCTTTGGGCGGTGATCCCAGTGAGCTGGGTATCACAGGGCGAGGAGCAGGATCTGGAGCTAAAAGTTTTCAAAGCTATACACTGGCTCGCCTCGAAAGGATTAGGTGCACTACTTGTGGCACGAACTATGTATTGCGTGGCATGGCCAGCAAGATGTATCTCCAGACATGCAAAAAAGACTTAGGACCTGAATCAGCACAGGGCTTCTGCTGCAGGAGTGAGCACGATACTCTGCTCTTCCGGAACGCAGGCTGTGCCTTCCTCGTCAAGGCTCACCCGCATGCGGGCTATCTCTGCCTTCTGGTGGAATACTCTCACACCTCCCTCATGAGCTGTACTGGAGAGGGTCTGAAGGCCAGACAGACTGTCGGCAGCAGCAGCCGCAGCAGCCAGCACCGTGGCTCGAAGATCGCGTGGGCTAAGGTTCTCCACGCTTTTGGAGGGCTGAACATCAACGTCGCCAACGACGGGCAAACTCAGAATCCAGCGCTCGGCCTCCGTTCTCTGCTCACCTCTGTTTGCAGGACTTGAGGATTTGAGCTTCCACTTTCAGCTGCTCCCTCCTACAACGGTGAGCGACAGCAGTTGTTAAAAGCCAAGTCACCTTCTCGTGCAGCGAAGAGGGTGCCCTCCGGTTCCGACTCGCAAGCGCTGCCCGCCTCACTCACGTTCGAGCTTGCCCGCGTCTTCGGAGTGCGCGTCATCTCGCCGTCCTGCTTGGGGAGCCAGGCTACAAATCAAAACTTCAAACTCCTCAAGAGCAGTGAGTCCTCGTCCAGCTTGTTCAGGAAGCTGAAAATGCGCTCCGGGAACTTGCCATGCAAAATGCCGCACGGGATACCCGCGCAGTGGGCAGTCTTTGCCGCGGCAACCTGCCCCAGAATTTCGAAAGGCATGCTTGCAGCAGGCCGCCCAAGACCCCCAACATCCCTCAATGCACCAAACAGAAAATGTCTGAGCGCTGCAATCAGCACTACGTACCCGTTTGTTCTTCCTGCGTGTTCAGCGCACCAAACAGCACAATGTCTGGTAGAAGCAGTGAGCAGTAGAGCGAGCTAGGTGTAATGCTTGTCAAGGCAGGCGAGCCAGAACTAAGTCAGCGCCATACCCACACGGCTGTGCGGAATCCGGCTTTGCTGAAGATGAGCCTGTCTGCACCCTCGTCTCCTCTGCCCTTTTTGTTGCATTTGTAATCTATCCGCTCTTCCAACGCACAAGCTTTCTTATGCTAATTGCTGGGCGGCACGCAGCTCCCATTTCTTGACTGGCATTAGAGTTCTTACGTCTCTTGGCATGGCCAGGCTTGCATGTGAGAGTCCAAGGATTGAGGTTGCCATTATCCACCATGTAGCGGTGGCGCCAAGGCCGATAGGGCAATAGGGTGGGACTAAGGCCAGCTGTTGTTGACTCTTATCAGTCTGAGTAGCCTTGGTGGACATGCCGCCAGTGCCCAAAGCAGAGCCAGCTTCGCGGGTGTCAACCTCCAGCCCAAAGGCCTGAAGGCTTGATCAGCTCAGCGCCACTCTTTACAGCAGGTGACTTGGTCCGTTACAACTGTCCGCATCCACCTGCTAGGTTTGTTGTGAGTTGGCCTGCAGACAGGGAAAAAAAATGTCCCACTGCCTCGCTGACCACCCGCATGGGTTCCGCCGAAGGGTCCACATTGGGGTTCGCCTCGGCCGAGGCCGCATGCGGATCACGAGTTTTCTTACCTTCTTGAATATCAGTCTTTGTGTTGCATGTCTTGACAGTGGCACAGCTTGGGCCCCAGCTGTGTAGAGATAGTCCACGTCAGTGAACAGGAACACGCCAGCAGCACCCAGCTGCACCGCAGTAAGGGCCGCTAGGTTGTCGTTGTCGCCAAAGCGCATACCATCTGTGTTGGTGGTGTCATTCTCGTTGATGATGGGAATCACGCCAGCTTCAACACATGCAGCGATTGTGTCGCGGATCTCAGCCCAGCGCTGCTGCTCCAGAAAATCTCGTTGACCTTGTTCTCTTGACATCTCTTGACTATCAAACACATTCAACCATTATGAACTTTGAGATCCCCATCAGAATTGCCGCCTATGCTATCGACCATGCATTGGAACCTCAATCCCAGGCTGGGTAGCTCCCACGCAAATGACAGAAGACTGACAGAAGTTCAAATGGCAGCTAATGAGCTGCGCTCGCGGCCAAGCTGCTCACCAGAAGCTGGGCAATCTTGAGCCCAACAGTTTCAAAGAGCTCAGAATACCTCTGAACAGGTTCCTACTTGACGCTCCGGCTTGCCTGCGGGTCTAGTGATCTTAGAAGTACTGTGTCCGGCGTAGAGTCTGCACCACCTTGCTAGATTTGCACGTTGAAGCTGTTACTAGTAGCGAGCAAACACTCTGACTTGGCCAAACCACAAAAAAAAGGCTCCTTGCATAGGACAGCGCACACTCTCATGATGCGGCTTTGGCCAACCCCGGCGACCGCACGTTTCATGGCAGGAGCGGTGGGCTTCTTCTTCCTCGGTGTCATATGCGTTGCAAACGGCGTTTCACAAAGATCTTCCATTGGCCCCCGATTCGATTTGATAAAGATCTTCCATTGGCCCCAATTTGAGTGGAACAAAGCCCCAGGTACACAACTGGCTGCTTCTGCCCAAAACTCAAGGATTTGGAAAGGTTGAGTGCTCAGAATGCTCAAACTAGCGTCAGTCCCAACTCGCGGCAACCCATNNGCACAGAACTTGTCAGCTCGCATAGAGCACAGTGAAGCCTGCTACGCATCTTCAAGCCTTGAACCCTTTGTAGGAGAGGTCGGCGATGACTTCGACCAACCTCACGCTGAGACTGAGCCCGTCCCCATCATCCCACCCACAGGAATTTGCGATAAACATCTGGCGACCCACAGACACCATTCTGAAGCACAGCACAGCGCGAAGCGGAGCACCTTGAGAGATTCGCAACGTTCACACGCTGCCCGCGCTCGTCAGAAGTCATGATCGTCGAAGTTCCGACCTTCAGCCTCAGTCGTGGAATCTTTGGGGTGTCTAGTTACAGTTTCGGGGTTTTGCCTTTCCCTTCGAGGACTCTTCCACAAGTCGGATTGGTCCAGGCAGCACGAGAGTCTGGGGTGCAGCCGACATCGCTTCAAGAGTAACAGCTGGCCTTCACAACCTGTTTCTATACCACTCCTTATTGCAGACTTGGGCCAAAGACCACAGGACAGGCTCGCAAGCAGATATGCCAACAAATTGGGAGTGAACCATACATGCCAAGTCAGGTGCTGCCCCCAGCCTTTGTGAAGCAAGTACGGAAAGCCTGAGACGCCCATGACCTCAGTCCGTGTCACAACAGTGGCAACACCGACACACGCTATGTCATAGCAAATCAAGCGTTTGCCTCACAGCAAATCGGCGTCGCTTTTCTCTTCGCGCTTGTTCAACAAGCAGCTTTCCACGAAGGGATTCATTGTCATGGGGTTCATTGTGCTAGTACTGTACACTGACCATTAGCTGGCAACCGGATCTGTGCACTTGTGCCCGCACTCCGCAGCTGACTCTGTATGATTCCATGCTGCAGCCTGGATGGCTGGGCAAGAGGGGGGTCCAAACTCTGTCACATCGCAATCACGGGGCATCTCAGGCTCAGGGCAAGCGGCAAGCTCTGCTCCCAGAGGAAGATACAGGTCTGGCCATCTTGATCTTGAGGCTATCTGCACAGGCAGCAGGCAATCCCACACCAGCGTCTGGTCAGAATGGGCACCTCGAATGTCTGTCAGAACGTATGTGTTCTCGCGAATCCCCAGGCATTGTTGCAGACACCGCTTCACATCGCCAATTGTCACTGCATCATCGGCATTGCAACCGAAATTAATGCCACTGGGCATAGGCATTCCTTCTGAATCCGAATTGCCGAGATCATCTAGCACAAAAACGTGAATGTTCACCACGTCCTTGCCATGCAGTAAGCCATTGGACCCTGCCGCTCTGGATTCGTGTCTGTCTGGCTTGGCCGGCTCTGCAGACACATGCAACTGAAGGGTCATGTCCCGCTTTACAGCTACACACAGAAAACGAGACAACCACCAGGAGCCTGGGCCGTGGTGGCCGCGCTGACGTCAAGAAGCAGCTTGTCCCACTTCACAAAATAGCCTGGAATTGAAGTGCCTGTGTGGAGTCCCATCTCTTGCCTGGCAAATTCCCGTACATGACGTATGTGACAGCTCTTTGGAAAGGTCACGGTGGCAGATTTGCCTTGCAACTCATTCATTCCCTGGATGGTTACAGTCACCATGTCATTCCTCACAACATTCGAGAGAGGCATCACGTCAAATCGTAACGTGGACGAAGGTGACGCACTCTTGATGTCCTTCAAAAGCGTGTCCGCAGAACTGCTCTCGCACCCATGCCCAGTAAGGATGTAACTGTTCTCGCGGATCCTCCCCGGGCCGTTCTCTTACACCTGCTTCACATCGCCAAGGGTCACTGCATCGTCAGCATTGCACCTGAGATGCATCTGCCAGGGCATTGCCTCTTCTTCCGAAGCCTCCAGACATTGAAACCGGCAAATGCAAATGTGAATTGTATTTGGTCAACATGGGCAACTTGCGTCCTTGTCCTGTCCCAAACCTGCCCCTTCTGCTATGTTGGATAAGTCGTTCAGGCCCACCATTCCGGATTTGAAAGGTTTTGCCAATACCGAGATTTGCAGTTGCATCGTCGCATCCTGTCCCAGAGGGATTCAGAAAACGAGACATCTCCCAGTCTTCAATGCCCCTGCTCACGCTAAGATTGAGAAGCAGCCTGCCCCACTCCAGGTACACACGTACTCTGAAACGTGGGTTAAAGTTGTTTAGCCCCATCATTTGCTTAGCGCATTCCACAACTCGCCGGATCAGGATGTTTTTCGGGAAGTTGACTTTGGCATATTTGCCTCGCAAACACCCTGTGCCCTGAATCTTTGCGATCGCCCTGTGTTCTGGGATACCCTCAAGCTCCTTGCTTTGCCTTGATACAGCCCCTGGTACGGCCGCAACCTCGTTGATCTGCCGTGATAGGACCGTCAAACTGCAGGGTGAACCCCAAAAAGCACAATCCTGAACTAACTTGTTATCTGCGCACATCTCACCAAATGGGCCACGGCCATACATGTCTGGGGCCCAGATGTCGTACTCGTTCTTGCGCAACCCCCAGGGTCCCTCCTCCAGAGCCAGCTTGACATCTCCAATTGTTGGCAGGTCCGCGAGCCTCACCACGAAGTGTGATCCTCGAACCTGGGGTCCCCTTTGACAGGACTCTGCATCCATGTTCACCCAAACTCCCAGAGTTGCTATCAGGCTCTGAGTGCCTGCCTGCACTTGGATGGACATGCTCTTCCGGGCATCATCATCCATGAACTCTGTCAGCGCAATGTCCAAATCATGAGGGTGTCTCGAAGCACGTGGCCCCATTTGATGTAGCACTGCAGGTAGGCCTGCTCTTTGATCCTCCATTCCCTTTTGATGTAAGCCACCAGCTCGGCGATAAGAGCCTGCTCTGGAAACACCGTGGTGAGACTTTGTTCGCTCAGGTCAGCTATGCCTTGCACTGCAACGCAAACCTGATCTGATTCTGCATGTCTGCCTCCTTGTCCATCACTCCCTGACAAGACCACTCTTTTTTGTGCAGCTGCCAGCCCAGCCTGCCAGTCTTTGTGAATAGCGTCCGCCAGTTGAGTCTTGTTAGCATTTGGCGCCACGGGCAAGCTCGCTGACCTTAGGATGGTGGCTAGATCAGCCTCATTCATTTCTGACAGCTGATCCTTGGAAGGTTTCTCATCCTGAACAAGTGCCGGGTCAATGGTCATGCCAGGCTGTACCATAACAGGCTTCACATCACCATCCTGGACACGGAAGGCCAAGACAGGCATGACTATCAAAGCACTGGATGATGGCACTTTGGCCTCCTGGCCCTTGTGGCCCTACAGGCCAATCAGATCGGGGCGAGCTCTGACTTCCCTTGAGCCCCCCAAAGAATCTGGGCAGGGGCCGCATTCCGACTTCGCTGCAAAAAGCCAATAAGAAATTCAATATGTACTTTGGCAATTGGCATTGCACCTTTCCAGTGGCTTCTGAACTCCCACGAGCGTACTTCTTCGATACCCTTGATTCATGCAGGGTAGAACACAGAAACCTCTGCAGACTGCCCTTTGTGGGGTCCACAGATCCTCTAAGCTGCTTTTCAGGATGCATCACGAGCGCTAGGGCGCTGACCCGGTTTGCGATGAAGCCGCCGCAGTTTCCGACTAGGCAGGTGACCTGGACCGGGTGCAGCATCACTGCCAGCATAGAATACTTGCAAGATATGTGATTAATGACCCTGATGCTGAGCATGAAATTTACGTTGCACTTGTTGGAACTAGCATGTAGACTAGAAACCAGTACTGAAGTACGGTCTCCGCAGTGGCCAGGTCTTAGTAAAGCAGATGCCATGCTCTGAAGGCTGAGGGGCCTCTTGGCAGGCTTGGGCTTTGGTGGGTCTTTTGAAGCTACCATATAACATTTACAACTTTAGTGGGCCTTAGAACCTCAAACTTAACATCCAGTTGACATGCTGGTCAAGTAGGTCGCACGCTCTGATCACGAATTTGCAGATACTCAAAGTGGCACAAGTGGCACAGGCCTTCTTCAGCTTTGAGCCGAAAGCCATGGCGGTGGCGATGGTTTCCGGAGACTTGGATATGTGCTCTGAGCGGACAATCTGCTGTTGCATGTTTCCCTGTGTGTCACGAGATGCACATAAGCTTCCGTGAATGTCACAGTACAGCCTTTCCAAGGCATGCGCAGTTTGCAGGAGTATATTTCGTTGAGATACCCAACTGCAAGCCGTGCAACAGTGCGAGGGCCCCTCACGTTCCTTAGCAGGCTCGAGAACTTCAAAAACATGCATTGCCTTCCATTCCAATGAGGACAGGGCACGCGCTCCACAACGGTGACAGGTTTGAATGCTTCCAGGCAGCTCAAGCAAGCGCATTACGTTCGCAGGGGAGAAGAAGTGGCCTGGGGTTGGCAGAAACAACTTGCGCAGGAGCCTGCACTTTGGTCTGCTCTAGGAAACCGAGCCCCTGACAACCAATGACATCCTGCCGGCAACCAAGCAGAGGCTTTGCAAGTTCAAGTTGATGCAAGCTCGAACGAACTCCGCCTGTGGTCTCTTTGTGGCGCTTGCAATCTCGTCAATGTTGAGGTAGCTGGTGTTGGAAGCCAGGATGCTGCCTTCGAGCTGAGACGGCCAAAAATCAAAATGTCTGAGATTAGATCTCAGGTAGGGCCTGCCTGGCTTACAAACCTGGTCCAGGGTGGCAAAGATCTTTTTCTTAAGGTCCATGTTCTCATAGACTGCCTGCAGGGCGGTGCTGGGAAAGATTTGGTTTGCACTCACTTCAAGCCTTCATCTTTCTGAAAGTCATGCCACGAAGACTGGCATGTAGTGCTTGGAACTCCGGATTCGTAGCCGACCTCCTGTTACCGGATCCTTCGCGTTCTTGTTTGTGCTGACTTACAGTGCTACCACTCGCTGAGAAAAAGAGCAAGACGTAGGTAACGCTGTGTGTGCCCTCAAGTACACGTCCCAGCTTTCTTGGCATTGCACAGAGAGCCTCCACCACAATATCGCACTGCGAGAGAGAGTCGTATGAAGTTGAGGCTGTGATGTTTGCCAAGAGTTTGTCGACCTGCTCCTGTAGTCAGAGCTGCCCGTACTTGCTTGCTGGCGGTCTTTGTCTCATAGCCCATATCATGCTGGTATCAGGACATGCAGCCAAAACCAGGACAAGGATCCCCACAAGAACAGGCCCCAAGACCCTCCCCAGTATATTTCGTCTCGCTCTCCTGCGACTTGGACTTCCTTTCCACACTTCTGGCATAATTCTTCTGGATCACCTAGCAATGCTGGCACCGAGTGGAGGAGACCTGACGCCTTCAGTTGAGCTCAGCGCCGCACACTCATTCCACGCTCCAGGTTCTTCTGGTCAACGTCCAGGACTACTACCTAAGACTACCGGGCCGAGTCATGGATCCAGCGGCATTATCTGTATGGTTCTGAACTAGCGTACTTTTTGCCAATGATTTTCATGATGACGAACACAACGATTCCACCAGTTCGTGTAAGCACCAGGACCACCAGCAGCGCCACCACAGTGTCTTCTCCTACTCCTTCTCCTCCTGCTGCAGCTGCTGATGCTGTTGCTGCAGCTTCTCTTGCTGCTGATCTTGCTTCTGCTCCTGTTCCCACTCCTGCTCTTTTGCTCGTGCTCCTTCTCCGGTTCCTGCTCTTGCCACTGCTGCTGCAGATGCTGCTGCTGCTGCTGCAACTGATAAGAATGGCAATGGCATTCGGTCCAGCACTCTTACCATAATGTACCTCGACCGCGATGACGATGATGATGCTGACGATGACAGCAGCTGTTGCCACTCCGACGATTACTGCAACTGCTGCTGTGCAGCTGCTGTCGCTGATACTGCGGCTACCGCCACCACCGCCTCCGCCACCGCTTACGCCACCGCCACCGCCACCGCCACCAGCACTAGCACCAGCACCAGCACCGGCACCAGCACCGGCACCACAAGCACCACCCCCACCCCCGCCACAAATGCTGAGCAGCAATACCCCAACCATTCGCCGGAGTTGCCTTCATCCCAGCCTCAGCACAGCACATGGCGATACCGCCGCCCATCAATCCAGCACCTGAGCGGTTGGAAAGCAATGCCCTTTAAGTCTCAGCCCGACGATTCCGCAAGAGCAGCAGCAATCAAAAGGGACGGTGGGAAGACTGATAACCCTAACACTTCAGCACGTTGAGCAGTAGCAGCAACACAATCAAAACCTATGAATTACCTTCCTCGTGATCTTGCTAAGAATCAACAGCAGGATGGTAGTGGGCAGGATGGCAAGCAAGCCATAGTCCAGCCATTGGAAAATGGAAGTGCGTCAGAGTATTTGATTTCAGGCTGTGGCAAGGAGCTATTGCTTCACGACCAATGACAATCAGGCTGGTAACAAAAGCCTTCGCAGTTGTGTCCAGGTGCCGATAATTCCAGCACTGTTGAGAGGCTTCGGCTTGGACTCCAAGCCTTCAGAGCCAGAGAGAGGATAGAAGGAGTCCTGAGACTACTGGCACAAAAAAATGTTGCAGTGATAACCCATGTTCGCTACTAAGACACTTCACTAAAATCAGTAGACGTCGACAACACAAACTCTTGACCCCCCGTGCAAAGCGTATCTGCGCTGCCGGAAATGTCGAGGTCTCCTGCCTGGTATCTTGAAGCACTGTCGCTCTGCGAAGAACATGTACCTCGTGCCCAAAAAGCTCTGACCACGATGGAAGGGCAATCGGGTTCTGATCTGAAGGCAGCTTACATGGCCCAGTCGCAGTCTGGTTGAAAGGTCCTCTGACTGTTTTCTCTTACAGTACTACAAGGAGGGGCCCATGCCTGTGATCAACACTTTGACCTAGCTACCAAGTAGTCCCTCAGAAGTGCCTGCCTGCTTCATGCATCCTGCTTCTATAGCCACTGCCTCCACCCAACCCACGAAAAGAAACCTCTAGGCAATTCCTATTTAGGGGTTTCCCAAAATTAGGGGTACCCTTTTCGGGGCCCCAATAATAAGTGTGTGTCCAGTAATGGCATGCACCCCTCTGCGCAAGGGATGACACGTACTGCAACACGCAGACCCTTTTTAGCATCAAGCTGAGAAACACCTTAGAAACAACTTTCTGTGTGAGAGGTGCGAGGGTTTGCATTCTATTTGTAGGTGCTGACGTCCTCTATCCCATCAAAACTAGGTTATGAGCCCAAGCTCGATCTGTGTAACTCTGGTCTTTGTATTTTCCGTCTTTCAATAAGGTGACCTGTAGCTTTGAGCTATGGATATGTCAAGAAGGCGGTCTAAGAAGCAGGATCCAGACGCAGTGGATGTCGAACAAGAAAGGGTCTTGCAGAACGCTGGAGCCTCTTCCGTTGATGCAGGTCCCCAGTCGGCTCTTCAGAATGGCCCTAAAGGGAGAAAGCCTGGAAAGAAGGCGACTCCAGCTAGCGCTCCGTCGAACTTAGAGGCGGAACCTCAAGGAGGAGTTCTGCGGGATGAGCCTGAATCTTTTGGTCCGGCTATTGAGGATCTCCCCAAGGAGGAGGTGGCTAAATCAGACGCGACGGAGGAGAAGTCTCCTTTGTCGGCCACTACACACCCCTTCTGGAGTGAGAAAGCCAAGCTGGAGGTAGCATTGGCGCAAGCTAGGCCGTCGGACTTGGATGCAGAGGCTCAATGCTTTTCTGGTGGGGATCTGGAGAGAACTCGTCCCATTGATTTGGAGGAGCGGGGTAGGTCTCGACAAGAAGTAGTGGTGAACGAGGAGGTTAAGGATCCAGAGTATGGTTCTGCACTGGGAGCTATGGCTTCTGCTGAAGTTCGAAAGTCCCTGGACGTAGGCATGTCCTCTCCAGAGAGATCTGAATTTGTGGAAGTTTCCCCTTCTGCTGGTTTGGAAGGTCAGTCGCAGAGGAACGTGTCTGAGAGAACCGAAGGGGATGATCCGATTCAGGACGCCAGTCGTCTTGTACAGCAGCGTAGAAGTAGTGAAGAACTCGTTTTGGATGATCAAGCGTTAGAGATTGCAAGATTGAGGTCCATGGTTGATTTCCTTCAGGGTCATATCCAGTACACTGAGGAAAGTAGGTCATACGAGTCTTCGTCAAATCAAGCCATGGACCCGGTAGTTGCGGTGCAGGATTCAAGACCGGTACCAAGACCCCCAAATGAGCAGGGCCCTCCAATAGCCTCTACCATTCCGGCTACTCCTTACTTCGTGCAAGAACCGAGTGGGATTCCTGTTCCCCCCGTGTTTAACTTGTCTAGTAAACCTGCAAGAGATCCGTTTCAAGAGTGCGTAATGGTTCAGGGGATGCCTCATAGATGGGTTAGAGTAGGAGATAAGCTGTATCTTGAGCCATTAGTCCTCCACTCTCGAGAGGGATCTCCTCCTCCTCCGCCTCCTAAGACAACTCCACCCCCTAGTCCTCCGCCTTTACCTATCACTAGTAGTCCCTATAACCCCGTAAACCCAGCGCCTGAAGCCCCTAATCCC